ATGTATATGTAGGCATATATACTTTGCAATAATTGGTAAAGCTACTTCTCCCATCCTGCTCATGACGTAACCTTTTTCTAAATTTTGCATTCATACATCTCAACGGATAATGCTGCTTCTCTCATCCTTTTCTCTCGGTTGATTTTGGTATTAGTGTTCAAGAATGTTACTTGTTCTGTACTTCTCTCAGGTGATTGCATTTACATAACTACCCTTAATTGGTGCAGCTAGTTATCCCAGGTTTGACAGCGAAACTTCACGCCTTAACAAATCAGTGACCAAGACGCTGTCAAAAATGGGACACTACCTCCACATAAAGGAACAATATGCCATTCATCTGCAGCTGACAAAGAATCCTGTTCCATGTCAAGTGTCATTTAACAGTCTAATATGCGAAAAAGGGATACATCGCTTCAGTTTTTTTCACACTGGTGTATAATCTCATTGGGCATCCAAGATCGCACACATGGCAACTAATTGCATGATGTCCGCCATTCTTTAAAAAAGTAATTTAATTAGCCAATAATGAGCAATCATTCCACTTGTGTCTTTCTTGGCTTGGTCATCTCGTCCCCCACCCTCCCCTACCATTGTATTGTTAATTAACATGGTCTGGTGATCCTCTTACGCCTTAATATAAACAACTTGCCCGACTGGCAAAAGAGGAACACCCCCATCAACGTACTGGCGGTTAATCCATTGAAGGAAAGATGTTGTTTTTACATAGGTACTTTACGACAGGGTGTAATCAGTATAGATTAGTAAATCTACATACATAAACACTACCTTTTGACAAATCCGCTGTGCAAGATAAAAATAATTAATCAGCGTGTTATCGGTTAATCCTTTGATCAATGTTTGTTTTTGTATCTCAACTGATAATTCGTCTTGCTGCAAATTCCATCCGTTTATTACATAACATGTAATACATTTGTCACATCAGACCTTAATTCATAAAGCTGAGTATGTACTCCAGACACAAGAAATGCGAAATGGGAACCTCTGTCGGGTAATCTGAGTGGTATTACCATCATACCTGTTATAAATTCATTAACTGACCATCAAGTGAATGATGACAAATAGCATGTGTAGGTTTATACCACCAAACACTGGTTACAGCAAAGGGAATAGTAATCGCTAAATTGCATGCAATGTTAATTGCCTGAAAACAATTATGGGCCGACACTGGATACGAACGGAACTTCATTGTTGCATAAGAAATACATATAAGCATTTGATGTGTACTGAAGTTAAAATTGTATTTACCTAAGTAAAATTTCGTTTGTCATAAATATAATATGTAATAGACATCATATGTTTACATGGCATGATTAAATATCGAGGTAACAAAACACAGAAATAAGATCAAATTGGATCAGTCACTATGCCATCCATGCATTAGAAAATCCCAAAAGCATACACTGCTAGGATACTTTATTGCAATCAGACAGGAACTACAGGATTGAACTTACTTCCTGAGGCTTCTTTAAGCGGCATAAAACCTTACAACTTGGTTTTCCTTCCAGAGGCTGTCTAAACTAACTTGACTCACTCATTAATTAACAAGGCCTTGTTAATTGGTGACTCTTAACTGCCTTGTCTCACTCATCAATTAACAAGGGATTAGGTCCTGGGGCGTGCAAAGAACAATCATTTACCATCACACACCAGTTATCTCCCCTTGTGGACATTTCCAAAATTGTAAATTTTTGGAAATCTCATATTTCCAAAATTGGAAATGTCTTGGAAACATCATCTTTCCAAAATTGGAAATTTCATGTTTCCAAGACATTTCCAAGCTTGTAAATGTGGACTTTTTTCCAGTGATTGCAACTGATTTACATGCATCAGCTGAAGTGCAACAGTCCCTACTGTTCATAAAAAAAACAGGAGACAAAAGGATTTGAAAGATTTGTGAATTCTGCATTGAAAACAGATACAAGTCCGAGCTTTTACAGTCCCATTACCAGATCAGGTGTCAAACCATTTACTGACATGACAAAGGCACCTAAATTCAAGAGCAAAGTAGAAAACCTCTTGACTAGAAATCATCAAACTCAGCTTATGTACTGCATCAACAAAGCAGATGTTGTAGATGCTTTAATAGGTACGACCACAATGAGTGAGTGAGTGAGTTTAGTTTTACGTCACACTCAGCAATATTCCAGCTATATGGCGGCGGTCTGTAAATAATCGAGTCTGGACCAGACAATCCAGTAATCAACACGATCATAATGAGTACTACCATACTGAGAGAGAAACAGAAGAAAGATTCATGCCGCCAGTATCAAGTAATTAGTGGTCGCTGTGTACCACCATGGAAGAAATCTATGAACGTTGGCTTAGAAAAACAGTCCCTGGTTAGATTTCTTTGTGACTAAGCAGTACTTCATGGCCTGGACCATCTTAGTGGACATCTAGGAAAGATGTTGATGCTGGCTGGGGTATACACCAAGAGTGAGAAGACTGGTTAAAAGGAAGAAGATGCCCTCTCCACGAAGAAGCTGACACCTGTATAATTCTTCATTCCATACATGTAGATATGGAATGGAATACATCAAGGCAGTCACGGTAAACTGAACACTCTGGGAGCACAGAAACGATGTGAGTCTTGCATGTGTCTTCATGCGAATATAGTTGTACATAACATGTACGACGTGCACGTTGGCGAAGCAGAGTATGGATATCTTTCCGTATTAAGTTTTTGATCTCCCTTGGCCTTTGGCTGTAGTAAAGAGAATGACGATCTGGAGCCAGTGTACTTTCAAGGGGTGATTGTCTCTGCTCCTGAAAGAACTGAAAAATCGGACTGGACGTTTCGCCTACAAATATTGCAACCATTTACCTAAATGTGCACTTGTCAGGGAGACACAAAATGTCTGAATCAGTTGGAAATGTAGACATTCACAGAAAACAGAAAACTGTAGATAAACACTGACAATGCTGTATGAAAATAACCTTGAAAGATTTGCAACGTCTTGCATCTGCAAAGACTATAATTCTAAGAGTCAAAAAGGCACGTGTCTCTATTTTATTGCAATATTTGAATTCTTTGCCCTAGTGTTATCTGATTTCACAATTTCTGTTGCCTTGTGATGGGCACAGAGATTTCAAGCTGTCACGAAAAGTGAATGTTTCCTAATCAAATTGATGTGTAAATTTCCGAAAAGGCTGATTTCCCCAAAAATATGAATTTCAGGTATTCATCTGTATTATTGCCTTTTGGTCATTTATTTAATAAAAACAATTCAGAATAATATGCCTTAACACGGTACCATTGATGATGGAAACGTATTTATAAGGATTTATATATCTAAATTAAACGTTGTAATATATATTTATGGCCTTGGTGGGATCACGCGACATGAATTTAAAAAAAACCTGAACCATATCTGGCCACTACACCATGGCCTATATATGTTAATGTAGGTACAATAAGCTTTCCAGTGAGCCATAATATGTCCATACAAGAGATGGGGGGCATTAAACTCCTTAATTTGGCCAAGTCGCCGCTCTCCTAATGCTGCCTATAGCGAATATCATACGACAGCACAATATCAACTTCCATGGATACTCAGACGACAACCAGTTGCATATAGGAAGAAAACCCACCCAAGCAGTTGTTTCCAAGTTACAACTTGAACAGTATATCAATGATATTCAACAGTGGATGACAGCAAATACACTCAAATGCAACAGTTCAAAAACAATTCATGACTATTAGCCCTGGAAAATGAAAATCCAAAATTCCAGATGTAACTCGAGATTAGTGGCAGTCACATCAAGCCAAGCAATAACGTGAGAAATCTGGGAGGCAAGTTCGATAGAAACATGACGATGAAAGACTATGTGAAGTCAACATGCAGAACTGCCTTCTTCCAAGTCTTTAAGATAAGCAAGATCAAGAAATACCCTGACAATGGTAGTCTTAGGACAGTTATCCAAGCCTGTGTCTCATCACTATGGAAATGTCCTCCTCAATGGAACTACTACCGCTAACATCAAACTACTGCAACAAGTGCAGAACATTGCTGCGAGGATGCTGTTACAACCAGAACTGGTACCAACCGAACTGCTTCAAGTTCCTAAAACTAAAACAAAGATGGGTGAAGTGGCTCTATACTTTGCAGCTCCAAAACCGAGGAATGCTATACCACTGCTAATTAGAATTTGTCCAACAACAGAGTCTTTTCTAACTCGTCTGAAGACTTATCTTTTTTCCACTCACTTTAACAAGCACCGTTGAGCAGTCATGTTAAACCTGGAAACCAGGCGCTATACAATTCATTCATTCATTCATTCATTGTACATGTGTCACGTGATTGGATGAGTATCGGGCAGCACCGTTCGGTGACTCACCCCTTTTCATTGATTTGTTAATTTCTCTTTTACGTCAAATGTGTTCTGTCTCTACTTTCCATAGCCTATGGTAAACGCCATTCTCTCAACACTTTCTGCCTCCACATCGTGCCTAACCGCTATGACTCATGAGCCAAACTGCAGATATAAATACGGAATCTGGTGTAATTCTCTAATGGTTTAGGATGCATTTTTACCTTATAACAGTATTTATTACTGAAATGAACAGCTTCACGTCAACACATTTCACCGACACAGGTTGTGGCTAGAATAATAATTTTCTAAACCCATACACAGTCATACAACTTGGTTCCCAAATGATATCATGCCACAATGCGGTATCTTTTTGAAAGTATACTTTCGTAAATAATAGTTGTAACATCTTACTTGCAATCCGAGAAGTATACACTAAATCATGAGTATCGACAATGGTCACCGTGAAGAAAGTACTAATGTGATTGTCACGCACACTGTTTTCAAATGATAATTGTTGTGATTGTATGAACCACCATTAACAACCACATCAGTACCTGGCTTATATACTTCTCTGCCACTCTCCTTCTTATCTTGAATATTTTTAAATATTTGCTGCCATGTCACACTGTTAGGGGATTAAATCTGTACATTCTTTCACTTTTCAGACTTTTCCACGAAACTTCTAACATCTGACTCAAGAGTTTGGATGAAGCCAGCAACATCGGATTTCTCTGTGCCTCCTAGCATGACCTTGCGCCTCAAGGTGAAGACGTGTCATTCTGCTCAACTAGCACTGGCTGAGACAAACAGACGTTTGTACCGCATTGATCTTGGTCTCAAAAGGGGAAACTTCACCGAGATGTCAATCAAGAAAATCTGGCCAAGCAGACCTCCTGTCACTTTAGCTCATAAGGATATCAGCATACTTAACTGTAACACGTTTAAATATGTGTGGCTGGAATGGGCCGACAGAACCCTGAGGGTGGGAGGTGGTATGAAAGTTGGCGATCAACTGATCTTAATTGCCAAGGATTCATGGCCATTCGATGTGAATTTTGTTATGTTTCGGAGCGGCATCAATTCTACATCTGAATGGCAATTCTAGATGTAGTCGAAAAAATAAACACTCAATACCCTGAAAATAGGCAAAGACAATTAATACTGGTGTAGACCTTCTACGGTGGCATTTACAACAACAAAAATGGGTCACTTTTGTAATTTATGAAAAGTCACCAGTCTTGAAACGCTCTGAGTTTAACATTTCGAGAAAATCCTATTCACGCCCAATCACTGATTGTTTTCAACTACGCCCAGGAAGTGATAATAGTCAAGAATAAGTATCTGATCTGAGGAATGGTGGATGGGGTCCAGATGACATAATGTTCGGGGTGAGATCATATGCCGGGATAATTGTGTTGCATTCGGTGACATAACACAATGAGAGGGTCATGCTGAGCCTATCTGTAGACTGCACGTGGGATGTTCAAACCATGCCAGTTATCCTCATATATTGTTATGTCACCTTAGCAACTGGAGCTGAACGACTGAACTTCATGCTAATCGATAACGATGCATGGTTCTGACATTTTACTTCTATTTATCAAATATTGATGTGAGAACGCTTAAGGTGGTGATATCCTTAAAAGACACCTTGCTGGCGCTATTTTATTCGTTGTATTTTAATAATGAATTCAAGGGCATTTGAATGACATTTACAGCTTCCAGTACACCTAGGAAAGGTCAAAGTAGTAGCAGTGCACCGTACAGACGTATATCCAATAGACCCATCCAAGTATATGTACACACAGAATGGGTACACGTAGTTGCGATATACCCAGTAAAGGTACACCAAGTAGTGATCAATCCACGAATGGTACGAATCCAAGAACGGTACAAGAAGCATATGTACGCTCAGTAATGATTCACCCAGAAGTACGCCAATTAGCCATACCCTCAGTAGTGATGCACCCTGTCGATCAACAGGTTCACAAAAGCAAGCAAAGTACAATACACCAAGTACATGTTTATCCAGCCAGGATACACACTCAATAGTGATACATCAAGGTAAAATCGTAACGGGTTCACCCAGCTTTGATACACCCTTTAGATTTACATCAAGCAATGTTACACACCCAATAGTCATACACCCAGTTAATGTATATTCTTCAGAGCTACATATATGTAGGAATACCCTTTTTATAGGTGCATACACTGAGTAGATGTATACCAGTCGGATACCCATAAGAGGTATACCCAGTAGTTATAGACACATTAGAGGTACACTGTGAAGCAGTACACCTAGCACAGCTGCATCAAACAATAGTGATAATCTCATTAGAGGTAAACCCAACAGTACTACACAAATAAGAGGTCCATTTAGCTGCGATTCATTCTTTGTAGGTACCCTTAGTGGTGATAAAACAATAGTTTTAGATATAATTATAGTTTGGCGTTAATGTACATGTGTACATTTGTACATTTTCGATTTTTCTCAAATCTGTTAAGTCCTCACACCTCAGAGCCGTATAATAAGATAGGTTGAACCTGTGAATAACACATTTTCACAAATGCAGTAGGGTCAACAGTATTTCATTTTTCAAATTATGGAGAATTTACCACTGAGAGCTAGATCAGATGTACATACTGTAATTTGAGATGAAGAAGAAAAAATAATACAAGATATCTGTATGTATTAACAGTTGTAATCATTTCATTTTGATAGAACCATTTCTCACATTTTGCCAAGCGCCCGCCCCTTCTCAACACAACACCCTAGTTTTATCTAGGTAGACCCTTAATCCTCGTGTCGGGAAAATGTTCTAAAATATTCAGTTGTCTCTGTAATCCAGAGATAGCATCAGATACTAAAATGACATCATCAGCAAACATCAGTAATAATATTTTAAGCATATCAGGAAATATTTGAACACCATATTTTCCATTCAAAACATTATCATTTCACAATTCGTTGATTAAACAGGACTGGACAATCGAAATAGTTTCTACAACTACACACAATAATGATTACACAATGCCATTTAGAAAGTGGTCAAATGTAACGTGTTATATTTGGGATTACACTTTCTTAGTAAAGTACAAATTCTAGTACTTTTTTGAGTTGAGCCCCATCCGGGATTCGAACTCACACCCTCAGAGTCAGGCACCCAATCGCCAGCACACAAAGTCAGCCGCCTAACCCACTCAGCTACCGCGACTTCCACAGTTGGGGGCGATTGGGGACCTGACTCTGAGGGTGTGAGTTCGAATCCCGGATGGGGCTCAACTCAAAAAAGTACTAGAATTTGTACTTTACTAAGAAAGTGTAATCCCAAATATAACACATGTTACTACACACAATAAGGTGATACCTCTGTATCTATCAGTTAGATGTACACACTCATTAGTTTCGGTGGAAGTAGTGATACGCTCATTGGAGGAACACCCAATGTTAATGCACCCATAAGAGGTAGACCCAGGACTAGTACAAGGGTTAGAGGTACACACAGTATTAATACTTCAATCAGACGTACAGACAGGATAGTTGTACACAGTACTGGTTCGCTAACCAGTACTGATACATCCGTTAGGGACACCTACTTGTAATACACCCAGTAGAGGTAAACCAAGCAGTGAAACTGTCTGTGGACGTACATCCAATAGTGGTACACATTCAAGGCGATGTACTCAGTAGACGTACACACTGGCACACCCAGTATTTTTACACACCCAGTAGAGAAATACCCAGAGGTGATGCACGCCGGAAGTGTACATCCCAGTAGTGGTACACACCCAGTAGCGATATACCAAGTGACAATACACACTGATTATATCCAGTTGTGGTACACATCCAGTAGCGATATACCAAGTGACAATACACACTCTCTGTAGATGTATAGCCAGTAGTGGTGCACACTCTATAGATATATACCAAGTGACAATACATTCGGTAGATGTATAGCCAGTAGTGATTACACACCCAGTAGAGATATACCAAGAGACACTACACCCTGTTGCTGCACACACCCAGTAACGATATCATACAGCAATACATCCTACAGATGTGTATCAAGTAGTGGTACACACCAGGTAGAGATATGCTAAGCGATACTACAGCCTAGATATGTATATTCAGTAGTGGTACACAAGTATAGATATACCAAGGGGCGATACAATCTCTAGTTGTATATCAAGTACCGCTATAGTGCAATACCAATTAGTGGTGTGCCCTTCACAAGTACACCAGTAGTGATATTGCAATTACAGATACATCAAAAGTGATATACAAAGTAGAGGCACGTCCATCAGAACTAGCATCGGTGTTATACCAATTAGAGGTACATTCATCAAACCTTGCAACAGTGTTATACCAATTAGAGGTACACCCATCAAACCTTGCACCAGTGTTATACCAATTATAGGTACGTCCATCAGACGTAGGGCAATAGTGATATACCAATTAGAGGTGCGTCCATCATAACTAGCATCAGTGTTACACCAAATAGAGTTACGTCCATCATACAATAGTGATATAGCAATTAGAGGTACATCCATCAAACCTTGCACCAGTGTTATACCAATTAGAGGTACATTCATCAAGCCTTGCACCAGTGTTATACCAACTAGAAGTACGTCCATCAAACCTTGCACCAGTGTTATACCAATTAGAGGTACGTCCATCAGATTTTGAGCAATAGAGATATGGTAATTAGAGGTACGAGCATTAAAAGCAGCATCGGTGTTATACCAATTAGAGGTACGAGGATCAAATCTAGCATCGGTGTTATACCAATTAGAGGTACGACCATCAAAAGTAGCATCGGTGTTACACCAATTAGAGGTGCGAACATCAGGCGTAGGGCAATAGTGATACACCAATTAGAGGTGTGTCCATCAAAACTATCATCAGTGTTACACCAATTAGAGGTACGACCATCAGGCGTAGGGCAATAGTGATATACCAATTAGAGGTGCGTCCATCAAACTTTGCACCAGTGTTATACCGATTAGAGGTGTGTCCATCAAAACTAGCATCACTGTTACACAAATTAGAGGTACGCCTATCAAACCTTGCACCAGTGTTATACCAATTAGAGGTACGTCCATCAGACGTAGGGCAATATTGATATACCAATTAGAGGTGCGTCCATCAAAACTAGCATCAGTGTTACACCAAATAGAGGTACGTCCATCATACATAAGGCAATAGTGATATACCAATTAGAGGTACATCAAACCTTGCACCAGTGTTATACCAATTAGAGGTATATCCATCAAACCTTGCACCAGTGTTATACCAACTAGAAGTACGTCCATCAAACCTTGCACCAGTGTTATACCAATTAGAGGTACTTCCATCAAACCTTGCACCAGTGTTATTCCAATTAGAGGTACTTCCATCAAACCTTGCACCAGTGTTATACCAATTAGAGGTACGTCCATCAGACGTAGGGCAATAGAGATATACTAATTAGAGGTACGAGCATCAAAGTAGCATCGGTGTTATACCAATTAGAGGTACGACCATCAAAAGTAGCATCGGTGTTACACCAATTAGAGGTGCGACCATCAGGCGTAGGGCAATAGTGATATACCAATTAGAGGTGCGTCCATCAACCCTTGCACCAGTGTTATACCGATTAGAGGTGTGTCCATCAAAACTAGCCCCAGTGTTACACCAATTAGAGGTACGTCCACCAGACGTAAGGCAATTAGTGATATACCAATTAGAGGAGCATTCATCAAACCTAGCATCAGTGTTATACCAATTAGAGGTACACCCATTAGACATAAGGCAATGCAAAATAAAAAATATAAAGGGGAAGTAGGTCACCAGCAACTAAAGGTAGAGCCCCGTATTAGGGAGCATGAGGACCACTTACAGTTTTTTTGCGATCTGCATGTCCCCTCAGCTGGATTGACATCATTCTTTCATTACTTCACATGTTGGCGTCTTTTGTGAAAATTACCGCACATTCAAAGACGCCTTTTAACGGCAAAGCACGAACAGTCACTATTATGTATTCACACTTCCAAAATTTAACTTTTACTGCATATCAACAACATATATTATTATCAAAACTTAATAGTTAGTGCAATTTCTTTTAAAAACACTGTAACTAAATGTGAACGTAAATCCGCCAAGGTTGAAACCTTCAAAACGTTTTCCCTTATGACGAAAAAATCAATTCTGTCAAGCAGGACCGTGATTCTTCATCACAAGGGATACAAAACGGAGGATCTACACCCTTTGATAAATATTCATGGGTATATACTGAATGACCAACATGACATCATCGCTTTGAAATGACTGTATAGGGAAAGAAGTTTTGTCACAGATTTGATGAGTACTGCCTTAGCAGCAGTAGTCTAGTCGTTATTTTAAAACGTTCGTTCGTCACGCCGAAGACCCGGGTTCGATTCCCCACATGGGCACAATGTGTGAAGCCCATTTCTGGTGTCCTCCGCCGTGATATTGCTGAAATGTTACTAAAAGCGGCGGAAACCTAAAATCACTCACTCACTCACCAAAAGCGGCTAGGTATCCAACCGAGGACGATGTCGTGTTGGCCAGTAGCAACATCATTATATAATTCAGTTTTTCTAAAGTGGATGTTTACATGATACATTTTTCACATCCTGAAGGTACGAAAGTGTGTCTGATAGTATGTTATATCATTTTATTTGGTTTGTGTACTGATATACTGAATGTCTATTGGACTAAATAGAACTCTTAACATTGTTCTGGATCAAATGAACGTGGCAGAAGCAACTGCACAAACAAATCATTAGATCAATCTGCAAATACAGATTTGGATGTAACACGTTTACTTGTTAACTGAATAAATACGTGTGTATAATGGAATTAATTGTTTCTGATTTCTTGAATGTGGTCCAGGTTAGGTCTACTTGTGAATTTTAGCGTGCTTTTCTTTTCGTCCGGCATGTCTATTCGGATGGCTGTCTCTCCCACACCTCAGCAATCCTCCTGGTGCGATTCCAGCAGGTCGGCTCACGTAAAGCCGTGCAGGCACCTTTTGCATAAGTGTTTCTTTTCCTTATGCTTCGATTGATCGTACAACAGTCTGTAAAAATATTTTATTCACATGTAGTGATACTTGTCGCCTTGCTTGATCATGAATATATTGATCGTCTTGCGGTGTTCGTTAGTGAGGGAGCTGATCCTGTGCACGATGGTTTTATTCCCTTCGTGTCCGAAGATATTGATGGCTATGCCGTCGTTCTGTTTTTCGATATTGGCGACCTGGGAGATGGGGGTGGGTTCGTCTTTGCTGTCCCATGTGATCCCATCGTCTTCGGGAAAGCTCGAAAGTCTGAATGTGCTTTGACCAGAAGCTGCACAGATCTGATCGCAACCCTCATGCAATTTGTTTCTGACGTTGACCATGGCTTGCTTTTTCTTGTAGTACGGTGGCCAAGTCTAGGTACGACCCTCCTTTGAACGGTACGTAGTTTGCTATGTCCAGATAGGCAGTGTCGATCGTGTCCACGACCAAGCCCAAACCCATGTGTATGTAGCATTCCAGGAATTCTCGTATTTTTGCAAACGAGGTGTCGATGGACGTGTCGACGGACTCGGGTTGAGTTGCGACTATTTGCTTGCCTCTGAAGTAAGGCTGGACATGCTCGGTTGTGCCGTCCGTCTGCTGGTTCTTGCCGACTTTGTCGCAAACTAGCGTTTTGATGTCGTCGACGTCCATGTTTTTATCGACGTCCAGCCTCCAGCCTCTCAGATACTTATTCAGGCGTGCTTCGTCCACACGAACCATAGTTCGACAGGTTTGTGTTCCTCCAGCATTTTGAGAACCTCAGTTCTCCTCATGCGCGAAAAACCTCTGAGCCCACGCTCCTTCGCTCGGAGTTTGAGCTGTTTCAGCGACAAGTACAGCTGCAGATTGCGATAGTGAACGACATATTTTGAATTGTTCATCAAGTTTGGCACAAGGTTTTTGAGGTTAGCCGGCTTGTTGTCTCCCAGCAAGTTTTGTTGATATTCAGACATCCAGTCCGGGTTAACCGTCAATCGTTCGGGACCTAGTGGTTAGCTGTTGTGAGATTCATGTAGTTCTGCGGGATAGTCCAAGTCCACTTCGAGCATGTAGCCTTTGTTCGAATCCGGCGCAATGCTATTCACGTCAATCATCTCGGGTGAGGAGACCCATTTAAATCCCTCGGTGGGGAGATACTGACTCATGGCCCAGCCGTACAGGTTGTTGGCGTCAAGATAGAGTATCTGTTTGGTCGGTTTGCTGGGGTCGTGACCTGGAACGTACTTGTTGTTGGCTTTCGCGTATCGTTTGGAGGTCATGGAAATCCCGCCTCGCAGGCCTTTTTCCACAAACAGGTGCTTGTCGTAATCTGTCAGTAGTTTCAGCTCCATGCCGGTCTTTTTAAACAAGGCGTCCCAAGAGAGACCGGGGGATGGGAAATACCGAGGTTCTCGAAATGCTGGAGGAACACAAACCTGTCGAAATACGGTTCGTGTGGACGAAGCACGCCGTAGGTAAGTATGTGAGAGGCTGGAGGCTGGACGTCAACAAAAACATGGACGTCGACGACATCAAAACGCTAGTTTGCGACAAAATCGGCAAGGAACTGAACGATCTGGGAAGCCTCAAATTTCAACTGACGGTGAAAATGCCGCTGGACAAACAGCAGACGGACGGCACCACCGAGCATGTCCAGCCTTACTTCAGAGGCAAGCCAAATGTCGTGACTCAACCCGAGTCCGTCAACACGTGCATCGACACCTCATTTGCAAAAATACGAGAATTCCTGGAATGCTACATACACATGGGTTTGGGCTTGGTCGTGGACACGATCGACACTGTCTATCTGGACATTGCGAACTACGTACCGTTCAAAGGAGGGTCGTACCTAGACTTGGCCACCGTACTACAAGAAAAAGCAAGCCATGGTCAACGTCAAACACAAATTGCATGAGGGTTGCGATCAGATCTGTGCAGCTTCTGGTCAAAGCACATTCAGACTTTCGAGCTTTCCCGAAGACAATGGGATCACATGGGACAGCATAGACGAACCCACCCCCATCTCCCAGGTCGCCAAAATCGAAAAACAGAACGACGGCATAGCCATCAATATCTTCGGACCTGGAGCGGAGCGCATCCATGTTGTATATTATTATCATTATTATTTTTTTCTTCTTTAAATTGACAATGCTTTGCCGTGATGATCACCGCGGTCACAGCTAAAAACATGCCATATCTGTGGTACAGCATGCAACTGACAGCGCTCAAAGCGTGGTCGATGATCTTCCCATAGGTAAAGTCGACGTTCCGGCGGAATGGGAAGGAAGTACAACGCTACAGCGGTGTAGACTTGCGTTATTACAGACCCTATGGTTTTCGTCATTTCGGCGCCAAGTCTGGCTTCGTATCTCCCGTACAGCTTGTTGATTTATTTGGCTGACATTTTGTGAATTTTATCGGGAGTGTGGTCGCCTCCCCCACCACCCAAGTATTGTTTGGCTTTGCCGCTGACCGCGAGCACCACCAGTCTCTCTCGCTTGAAGTTTGCTAGAATTTTGCTTAAAAGCTAGCAGTCTTTATACACCACGGGTTGGTCGGTTTTCAACAGGATTTGGCATGTTTCGTTTCGGCGAGCTGTTTCTTCACTCGTTCTCATTCTTGTTTGGTCGGGATCACGTTGTTTTCTCGCAAGCAGTCCTCGAACGAATCCCTGTCCTTGCAGTGAAACAGGGCGACCCATTGCCTCTGTTCCCATAAATCTTTTAGTTCTGCATCAAAACCCAAACGCTGTGCTTCGTGTGTCGGCCCGAGAAGGCCAGGTACAACAGCGGTCTCGTTTTTTAAACATCTCCTTGTTGGCGTTGCAGTCGTCCAGGATGAACAGCGTCGATTCTCCTTTCAGTTTGTCGTGGTAAGCGTGCAACCAGTCCTGTAGACGAATTCCAGGATCGATTTTGTGCACGTCCGGGTCCGTCATCACCCACGTCTCTCCGTGTATGTCTTGTTCACCCGTAAAGTCGGGCAGAGATAATGATGTGGTCGAACACATCGCGATAGTAACCTTCCAGCATGTCCAGCACAAATGCCGTCTTGCCGCACCCCATCTGACCTCACCATGGCACGGGGGAATGCGAGGTAAATCAATAAATGACTTGCAGGAATCTTCCATTTTTTATATTGAGTTGCGCGTCCATAATCACGTACAAACATAAACTTAACTTGCCGGACGGATTTTGAGATTTTTTGGTGATTTAGATGGTGATCCCCTCGCTGCCTTTGTCGATGCGATGTCCGCTGCCATGTAGTCTGTCGTCGTCCGTGGATCACATGTCCAGCCACGGCGCATAATGCTTATCCAGGTAGTCACCGATCGTAACGTAGGTGAAACCCAGTTGTTTGATGATGTCGTTGACTTCAGGCGAGTGTCGCTTGATGGCCGGTAGTTTTCTTATTTCGTCCCACTGCTGGTAAGCTTGCATGCGTTGGCTGAACAGTTGGTTGGGCACAACCTTGACGGTCACTTCCACTTTCGTGATCTCGGGATTCCAAGTGAGTTCGCTGTTTTTTCGAATCTGCTCGTATTCCACCACGGGAGTGATCAAGATGCCTTTCATCGATTGATCCGGCACGTTCAGGTTGATGTTCCAAAACGTGGCACTCTTGTCCTTGACGATCGTACAGTGCCACAACATGCTGTCGTACAGGATGGACAGCTTTTCCGAGTACTGTGTGCAAATCTGCTTGGCCAGATTCGTGTTCGTGACCATGTCGAACTCCAACGAGATATTGTCGACGATGTAGCTGGCCTCAGTGCCGTCAGGCATTAAGATAACTTTGCCGTAGTCATTGAACGTGAGTTCGTATTCCAGGCTGTCGCCCAGCAGTATGTAAAACCGATTCCCGTACGACTCGGCGATGTTTTTTTCTCCTGCTGTGAGATTGTCTTGTGTGAAACCGTACCCCACATGGATTTCGTTCGATACGTCGTGATCCCGACTAATTCCTTGATACGCCATGTCATCATGTTCGTTCGGGGTTCTCCAGAAGTCCGTGTAACAGTAAAACACGTCGCTGTCGTCATTGCTCAGCACCTCGTTCCCGCTGATTTTGATGGTTGTTTTCTTGACCATGGCACTACCCAGGTTGTTCACCATCGTGCGTTTGTCGGTCGAGGACTCCAAAGTGATGTGAAAAGCCAGTCGAGGCATGCCGGGAACGATGACGTCGTTCGCGCCCAGGTTGGGGAATCGAACCAGCAGTGTTTGGTTTTGATCGATCGTGCTCAGATTGTTGGTGGTCACCGACTGAAGCACGGCTTTGACAGTGAACTGATCTCTCGCTTTTCGGAAAGGATCTAGCTTTCGTCCATATTGCGACATTGTTTATATTGAAACTATGTATATTATAAGTTTAATATAAAAATGGCGGACAATATTCGCATGGACAATTTTGACGTACACCAGCTGAACGACGACGATGATGCAGCAGCAGCCATGGACACCTCGTTCATGGGGGACACCGTAAGCAACGAGATTTTAAAGCAAGCGAATATTATGATGCCTAAAAGCGTGATGAAAATTATGAACCATTGGGTTGCGACTATCCGAAATTCAAAAGCGACAACGCTGCAATTGAAAGTTTATCCGGAGATCGATCTCATGAACAAACACTAGCCAGTCGCCGTGGTAGTAGTGAACTGATCTGCGACGACCTAAACCTGCGAGATTGCGGTGATGTATGACCAAAAGCGAACTCTGTGGTGCCGGCACTGCCGATCCTAGAGAAATGCCCCAGCTCACCAAAGAACCCTTGCCCGATTTTGAAAGCTATGAAACACATCATGAAGAAAAGATTG